CTGCTGGGCTTTCTTCACTGTGGCAGCTGTGTTCAGTAACCATCTCAGGTCAGATGTCACCTGCAGGCCCAGGAACTTGTGACTGTCAGCCCTTTCCACCTCAGTCCCTCAGATGAGATCCAGATGAAATTTAGTCTGGTGATAGACATTGCCACCCTACAGATGTGTGTCAAATTTCAAATGGTTTTGATAACTTTTGATGGAGATGTGAATTTAAGTTTTGCCTATAGGTTGCTAAGCAGAGGCTGTGTTTTTCAGGCTGCTCTGAGGCCGACGGATGTGGTTCTGGAGGTGGGACCTGGTACTGGTAACATGACAGTGAAGCTGCTGGAAAAAGCCAAGAAGGTGAGTGTGAAAACGTTTTCATTCTTGCTTTTTTGCGAACATCTAAAGTACAAACGGCATGCACACAAAAACAGTGTAATAAGGTGGAGACACCAAGGTTGGCTCATATTTTGTAAACAGATAATGCATTTAAAAAAAGTGTTAACCTTAGTCTAATTACATAAACCTGTAGTTTGAATGTATCTTATTTTTGTAGATGGACTGTACAGAATAAGTTTATTTCCTCCCTAGTGTTACACTTAACAGTATAAATCACCATGCAGAGCACAACCATACTAATTTCCTTGCTTTTGAGAAAATTACCACTCACCTGTAGCTCCTTATCTGTAAACGCAGTCCAATGGGGCATAATCCATGTAAAGATAAATGAATTGTTAGTCGTTTTGTGTCCAAAACGGTTTTATAATAACTGATCGTGACTGTTCAGTGTTAACAGAAATTGGTGCTGTTGTAGGTGGTGGCCTGTGAGTTGGACTGCAGATTGGTGGCTGAACTTCAGAAAAGAGTACAGTGCACGTGAGTGGAGATAACAGCACTGTGTGCATCATATATGTGTATAGCATTTACAATTAAATAAAAACAATGTTTTGTACTAAAGGGAGATTGCATTTGCCAACAGACCCATGCAGACCAAACTTCAAATATTAGTTGGAGATGTATTAAAAACTGATTTGCCCTTCTTTGACGTCTGTGTGGCTAATTTACCTTACCAGGTAAGGACGTTTCACACAGTTAATTCAGTGTCTTTCAGTATATTTATCTAAATTGTGACATTTCTTAATTGCAGATTTCATCTCCGTTTGTCTTCAAGCTCCTGTTGCATCGACCTTTCTTCAGGTCAGACACAGCCAGTTCCACTGAGAGTTTTTAACTGTGTTCTCCCCACGTCATGTCACCTTATTTGGTTTACTGTCGTTTAGGTGTGCCGTGTTGATGTTCCAGAGAGAGTTTGCCATGCGACTGGTTGCCAAACCTGGTGACAAGCTGTACTGCAGACTGTCCATTAATACTCAGCTATTGGCTCGTGTAGATCACCTCATGAAGGTTGATGTTCATAGCTCTCTAGAATAAGCAACATCACGGCAATGGGTCTCATTCACCAACTGTTCTTAAGAAATTTGTTTGTAAAACCCACTTACAAACTTTAGACTTTAGTTGTAGCGTTCTTGGCTCTCTATTCTGTTTGTTGTTTCTGTGTGAGATGTGTGCACACGGCCCTGCAGTCTCTCATGCCCTTTTATGAGCATTGGTGGAGCATTAAACTATGCTAATGAGGAGCGACTGGCACGCACTTTCAACTTACAAACACATTAGTATAAGAACACAGGTGCAAACAATTGTAGCAATTTCAGAACGCATTAATGAACCAGACTTTTCTGAGGACCTTTCCTAAGAACAACCAATGAAGAAATTTAAAACACTTAAGATGTTGGTGAATGAGACCCAATGTCCTTGGATGGATCATTTTTCATTAAGGTTTTTTTCCTGTGTTATAAGAACTGTGGCTCAGTGTTGATGTTTTACCTTTTATTAAGGTGGGGAAGAATAATTTCCGTCCTCCTCCAAAAGTGGAGTCAAGTGTTGTCAGGATAGAACCAAAAAATCCTCCACCTCCAGTTAACTTCCAGGTGAGGTTCAAATCTTAAAGGCTGTGAGAATGTATTTGTCAAAACAAGAGATAAAATTGCAGATAATTAACACTGTTCTACCTTCTGAAAAGGAGTGGGATGGCCTGGTCAGAATAGCCTTCGTAAGGAAAAACAAAACCCTGAATGCAGCTTTCAAGTGAGTACCCCAGATGCTGCCGCCATTAGCTAAGACTGCTGTATGAAAATCAGATGACCACATTGATTTCTAATTTGCAGATCTGCCGCAGTGGAACAGCTGCTGGAAAAGAACTACAAAATTCACTGCTCTGTACACAATGTGGTGAGTGAATAGCCCAGGGTACAGCTTTGTGAGCCATGTGCTCATACTAAACACTGCCAGTTGCAATACTTGTTTTGGAGAGTGTCCTTCTGTCAGAGCTCAGGCCTGTACCACAAAGTGAGATTAGTGGCTTATCCAGCTAGCTCTGGGCTCAGCTCAGGTTTTCCGGTACCACAAAGCTGACTCACTTTTAATCAGGCTAGATCACCTTATCAGGTTATAGTGCATGGCTAAACTGCACCAGGGCAGGTTAACCTCAGAGGATCGGATCAAAACCTGTCAACACCCTGAGCACCAACCAGTCAGATCACTGGAACAACTGACTGTTCCTACTGGATCGTGACGGGGTTATAGTCTACATTAATGTGCTAAGTATTAAATAGGCATTTCTGTAGAGCAGACAGAGGGAGTCTGCAGCCTTCATAATGATCAACACCGTATTTAAAATGCAAAAGATTTGTTTAATTTCTGTCGGTGTTTTTACAGACTCACTGCAGCTTAGAATAACATGAGGGGAGACTGTGATAATAGTCTTATTAAAACAATAATCCAGACTCTGTTAAATAGTTTCTGCGATTATAAATGAACATCTGAGCTGAGGTGCAACTCCTCCCAGTGTCTCCTTCGCTCTGGCAGCAGAAACTGTTGGATTGTTTGACAAGTTTCTTCGTCATCAGACAAAGGAAAAAAAAAACATATTGAATAAGACCCTTAAAAATTAAACACGGCCAATGATACACTCAGTGAAGCTATGTAACCGAAAGATAGCCAGAATAAGTTGAACTCTCTATATGGTAAAGGCCAGTGGTCTTAGGTTAACTTGTTGGCCAGTCTGAATTTAATGGTTTGTGCTCCATCATGGCAGGAGGTCCCAGCAGACTTCAGCATCAGCAAGAAGATTGAGAGTGTTTTGCAGGAGGCTGATTTCAGTGAGAAGAGAGCCAGGTCCATGGACATTGATGACTTCATGGTGTAAGTTGAACAATTACTCCATCTCTCTTTTATTGTTTTAATCCTTGCCAAAGAACTCACAAAATAAATGACTGCTTTGACCTGTTTATTCATTGGTATTTTCTTCCTCCTCAGGCTGCTTCATGCATTCAACTCTGCAGGGATCCACTTCTCTTAAATCATCATGCAGAGGGGACTGAAGAGAACAGCTTTATGATGAGAGGGGAGAGGGTATTGGTCAGATGAGTGGAAATAAATTCTGTTTCTTCTTGCGGAAGTTTGGTTGAAGGAACTGAATTTCAAATGCTGAAGTGCTTGAATGAACTGGGCCAAGAACATTGGAGGATGGATATGAAGAGCTCATATTGAGTTTGCTATTTTACTGTTATGATTACAGATTGTCACTGGGCACATGGATAGTTATTGGCAGATGGAAGCTGTCTTTGTTGTTCAAGGGACTGTCAGTGTGTCCAAGAATTTATCATTAGTTGAAAATATGGAATGGGTGATTAAAAATTCTCATGGAAAAGATCAACATTAAAAGAGTATATACAGGTGTGCAATATCTTAAAATAAATGTAGGTTCAAGTTTTTGTTTTTTTGTGCAACCACTATCAGACTGTGAATGGTGCCACAAACTCTTAGGGTCTACCATCTACTAGGAGGTTAGATCAGGGAGGATTAGTGGCTGTGGGTCTTTGACACAAAGTGAGGGTGACTTAGATCACTTTGGTGATCTGACTTGGCTATGTTTAACGTTTTTGAAAGTTACGGTGTAGCAAGCAACAATACACCTGGCAGCCTTTATGACCTAATCATGAGTCTACGCCTCCCTCTGGTGGTTACAGATGTAGAATGGAGAATTTTGTTTTGAAAGAGTGCCGGAAATGTTTGCGGTACGCTAATGATTCTAGTTTGACAATAGATGACTGACTGCTACCCCCAGTGGTCACAATATGTACCTACAACACTGCAGGACATACGGATACTGGCTCCCATCACTAAATGGAGGCTTTAACTGCAAAACAACTCCCACATCCCACGTATAATGCTGCAAAGCACTGTATATGCTTTATATATGTATTTTTAAACTGATGGAGGGATATAGATATTGTAAGTCAAGTGAATGTGCAATTTGTTTTACCATAAGTGTGTATACATTTATGCACACTGCAAAAAAGGTTGTAGCAAGTAGAAGTCTTGTTCTGTTGAATGAGATGAGTGGTGTTAAAATCAGCACCAATGCAGACAGCTGTCAAAGGGTTTTATAACACTCAGAGGTGGTAAAGTGGTTTTTGAAGAAAGTTACTCAGTCCAGTAATCTGGATAATTGTACCATATTCCAATGAAACACATTAATCTTTATTACTTCATCCAGCATTACATCTGGTGCAAACACTGAACAAGATAACCAATGGTAGGTCAGTGGTATTCACTATACATTTATTAATAGCAGATTTTTCTAGTTTCATTTTTATATCAAAGTGTTAAATGGGGGCAGAGAACACATCTTGCATTAGTTATTTTTTTAAATCACTTGCAACATGGAGTAACCCAGCACAAACTGAAGTATACTACATGTTAAAACTTCTCAGGGATGCAAAGAAAGTAACACAAAGGAAGAAGCACAACTGAAATGTTCTTCCAAACCAGTAAAGTCTTTAAGAAGGAATGAGATGACCTGATGAGAAATGGCTTCACAGCACCAACTGAGAACCTAAAAGCATGACAACTGAGGACCGTGGCTAATGTACTCTATCAGAGTGCACATGCAGACGTGTCAGCCAGAGTGGAAATTCAATACTGGTTTTGTGTGGTAAACTTTAACCGTGTTCAGTGAAGATGTCTTTATAAACTAGGTCTCAACAATCTTCAGTTCAAACAAGTACTGTATAAAAGAAAATAATTTAAGACGAATGGGGAAACTAAACATTTTCTGGGGAAAAAAAAAAAAAAAAAAAAAAATGGAAGGAAATAAAACTATTCTCCTTCCTAAGTTTTCTAACAACACCGTAGTGAGTGAACAGTCAGTTTTGTTAGGAGAGGGATCATAACAAATACAATTCCTCGAGCCTGTTGGTACAGCAGACAGTCCTTTTGTGTTTTCACAGGTCCTAGTGACAACCCGAGTTGCGCCCAACATCTAGTGGTTATGTACCTCTAGGTGCCACCTAAACTACTTCAGCCTCTGGTTTCTAAAGAGCACGTGGCCTGTTGGGATTGATCTGCTTACTGGCTTGTTCCTCCTCCTGGAGCGTAGAGCGGAATGACTTCACTTTATCTGTTAAAAAGACAGAAAAAAAAGTCTTTAGTGTTTGTTGAAGCAGGATGTGTTGTCAGGAACTGGCCAAGGTGTGTGTGTCGTCTTTATACCTCGGAGCTCAGTGAGGATTTCTATCTTTTGATCTAGGATCTGCTCCAGTTGAGTCGCATATGACTCCACATCATAATCCACCTCCTCTGTCATCTCCAGCAGCACTTTTTCATCTTCCAGCCACCGGATAGACTCCTGCTCTCAGAAGACACACACATGTAGTTTAACAAAGCGTACCAGCAACACTGAAGAATGACCATTGCAACCTATTGCATTTAACCAGCCATGCTTTCTTCGGAGTTCTGACCTGGAAAACAGCTCGGTGGTCCTCAAGGACCTGCTCCTCCATCTCCACTAACTGAGACACTGCCTCGTGGAAGGTGAAAAGCTGGGGAGACACTTCCTCCTCCTGGGAAACATATTTACAGATGCAGAGGTAACATGGTTCAATAGCAACAAAAACTGAAATCCAGAGTCCACTGGACATTATTGCTTACATGTGAACAATGTTAATTCAAAGCTCAAAATACATTGCTTTCTCACAAACAACAAGGAAACCTGTCTATGTCAAGGATGAGGTCAAATGTTGCTGCTCCCCTATTGTAAGCTTTAGGAATGGCTGCTGTGTGCCATGTTCTTACACCCCTTTAACAGCAGTATTATAATCCGTCTCCACAACCCTCCCTGAGTGTGTAACTGCAGCAGTTTTAGGAAATAAATGTGTTATGCTTTTATGGTATTTTCACAATTTTTGTTTCAAATGTCTATAGCAACATTACTGATAATTGCATTAACCAAAAACAAAATTCTTCTTGGTTATTTAAAATCTCAGTTTTCCACAAAATAATTTTTTCTCCCACGCTCTGATGTGTCACTGTATATATATCCCTTGGTATAAGAAGTTCTCCATACTTCCCACTCCAATAACAAACTGTTGTGAAGAAACCGCTGCGTACTTACATTCTGCTCACAGAGCAGTTTAAGGTCATCTCTCTGTGGTGACATACTCAGCCACTCCTCGTCCAAAAGATTCAGCTGGTTGACAGCATGGATGTTGGCTCGTCCCCCCTCCATTACTTGGTTGGGGTCCACTGTCAGTTCCTTCACCCTACAAGAAAACACGTTGAACTGGTCAGGACTAACTCGTTCAGAGCGAGCCTGCACTGTGAAAAAGGCTGCTCTTTGATTTGGGGTATGACGTTAACTGTGGGGCGAAAAGTGTTCACAAAGAGCACAGGATGGAAGCATCATGACAGTGGTGACACCATGCATGGGAAAAGATGACTGTGTTGGTTCAGTAAGTGAACACTAATGGAATTCTTCTATTATTTATTCTCATAATGGGCAGGCTGGAAAGTAGTTTGTCTGGTTCACTCAATATATAATGCAATGCAACATTTATAATTTTAAGTACTCGGAGCTAGTGTTTTAATGAGTCCTCACAGAGCTGATGAGACACCGGCCTGCAGGTAAAGCAGTAATTAATAAGGACTGAGAGGGATTACCTGCTGAGAGTTAGCCCAAACAAAAAGCTCATCCTGGATGATGTTACCAAGCAGTGTTATGGAGATTTTAGTGTTGTCACTGGTACCAAACAGCAGCTGACACCTTATCAAGTTCTGAACTGCTGTGCATTCATTCAGGCTAATTATACCCAGCTTTCACAGATGTCCTGCTCACCACAGATAGTGTTACACTGAACAAATAAAAGACATGCCCACATGGGTGTATTGTTTTTCAGGAGCCAGCAAAAAGGAAATGGTCAAGCCCACAGCTTAGCCAAACATTTAAGTGGAACCAAAAGTCAAAGCAAGGGAGCAGGATATAAAGTGTATCATCATGCAGAGGAAGGAGAAGATGACAGTGAAGTCTTCCATAGAGAACGGCTGATGGAGGGAGTGAAAGCTGCTAAAATGACCTCATGGATGTGCATCAAAATGTAATAAATACCTAAACACAGCGCATGCAATGTGTGTATGTGTGTGCAGTGCTGTGCTTTGGGGAATGCTCGACCTGCTGGGAGAGGTAGCAGCAAAGTCATCGTACTCAAAGGTATTGGTGGGCGAGTGGTCAGGGCGGCTCCCCTGACCGCCCTGGGAGAAGGGGATGTCTGACGGACTAATCCCAAACTCCTTCACTCTACACAGCGGCATCAGCCCCACCAGTGCACAGAGGAGCAGAGGGAAACAAAGCAGGAAGAAGAGAAGTGAGAGGGGACACGACAGAGTTACTGAGAGTAGGCAGAGATTTACAGTAATAATGCTGGTACAGCTCATTTCAATTTATACAAAAGTCACTGTTATGGTAGAATTAAAGGAGTTACAATTTCACTACAATGCATCATTTTCATTGGTTCCTGTGGCAACAAGCACTGTTAAAATCACTGTAGTTGGTCAACATATTCCCACCTGTTGGCGTAGCGTAGTGTGTTCAGTGTATTCTCACAGGATGTCATACCAGGAGAGATTGTTGCAATCTGTTTGGAGCAAGAGAAAACCATTCAGATTAATATCTTTGGAACAGATACAGTATGACAGTATGGATGCAGATTATTTATGAAGACTGACCATGCATGTGCGTGAATTTTCCCCAATAAAGGAGTCTCTCAGGACTTGGGTGAGCTTACTGGCTCGGAATGGAGTGTGAGGCTTGTTACGGCCAAGAGCCCTGATGCACTCCTGAAACAAGAAGAGAGCGAGGCCCTTGATGTGATAAATAATAATAAAAAAAATATAGCAAAATGGAATCACCAGGTCTCGTCTTTTCACAAAACAGAGCCACAGACCTTCAGGGCCAGCAGGCTTTTGTTGATTTCTGCTCCCTCCAGACGAGTCTGGCGGTCGGCACTCGATGTATCAGCTCCCCTTTCATTCCCCGCGAGGTCGATGAGGGAGAACTTCCCGTGCATCTTTCCCTTCCTCCGAAGAATGATCTGGAAGACAGCGTGGCTGCGAGATGAGTGAGCATTGGCTGACGTCTGCCCTGATGTTCTGGGAGTGAGAAAAAGGAGACAAAGATGAACAAAGCAAAGCAGCACAAAAGGGTCAAAAGTTGCATGAATTTTCATTGCACAAGGAATATGACCGATGTCATATTACAAGGCATCTGCATGATCAGTTAGTAACTCAACTCAAGTGTTTCAATGAGTTATGACACAATCATAATAATATATGTATTAAACAAATACAAAAACAGCAAGTGGACAAAAGTTGTGTTATCATACCTGCAGCTGTTGCCCACTTCTATGAGTTTCAGGACATCCTCTGTGCACTTGACCTCCTTCTCCTGAAGTCCCACAACCTGCACTTGCTGTTTCCCGTCCTCCAGCACTCTCAGCTTAGCTTTACGATTCAGCAGGTCAAACACCTAACAATACATATGCACAGTAACAGTCACAGGTAATGCTGTATTTAGGAAAAAACAAACAAATATTTGTGTCACTTGCCTTTCCACTGTAGATTTCAAAGAAGGTCGAGTACACTTGTAGATCTAACTTCTTGTAGTTGGGTTTCTTCAACATGAGAAATACATCCCGAGCTGCAAGCAAAGAGATGAGAGATCTAAACATTTCACCCGAGTAAACTTAGAATGTAATAACCGAACCACTTTTATTTGATCACAAATAATTAGCACAGAAAACAGTTCATTGACTTACCAGATAACACATAAATTCCTTTTGAGCAGTCTTGGTTCTTTCCAGAAAAATCTCCACCCATGGTCTAAAATACAGTACAATATAGGTGAAGTGATTTTTTCAAATTAAATAGAGCAGGACTCGCAATAAAAAATGGTTTGGGATTTTTTTAAGGGGTCGCTGCATATAACTCACATGTGTTTTTCCACTCCCTGTTTGCCCATATGCGAAGCAGGTGGCCATGCCCCTCTCAAAAATGGTCTCCACTAGAGGTCTGGCAGTGAACCTGAAGGATAAGACAGAATACACTTTCATCCTCTACTCTGTCTACCTGTTAGGTGAGCAAAGGTGAAAACTTTGGTTTTGTAAAATAACACACTATCCTCATCCTACTGATTAGTCAGGTATAACCTCTGTGAGCTATCAGAGCATGCACATGCAACAGCTTGTTTGACTGACTTGTTACAAACCTGTAAACCATCTCATTGGTGGTGCTGTCATCAAATGCGTAGTCAAAGCGGAAGGTCTGGTTTTCCAGGTAGCGGGTGAGGTCCACTTTTTGTTTAGGTTCATGAACCATCACCACATCTTTACTGGGGATGGTGATGACATCCAAATCTTTCATAGCCAACTCTGGAATACAACAAAGGCAAGATGTTCAATCACACGACAACATTTGCAGAGAGTATGACATGATGATTAGTCACAGAAAAACCTACCTTTCTTGTTGAGTGGACGTTTCCTCACACAAACACATATTCTGTGCTCTTCAATCTGGGCAGTGCAACACAGACAGACTTTTTATTAGTTGTTGGGGATAGTCATTTTCTAAGGAGAAAAGAAGAGGCAATAGTCTCTACTCACCAGATCTGCTGTGGTCAGGGGCCAGTAGTCTAGACTGGCTCGGAATTCTCGGATCATCTGCATGATCTCATAGTTAGGGATGGTGGTGTCCACCTCCTGAAGGATGAGGAGAGAACCAGGAAAACTATTCTCATGTCTTTCAAATTATCTTAATGTCAAACTTTAATACACAGACATAATTAAAAAGGAGACAGGGGAATAATATTGATGTACCTGAGCTCTCTTCTCCCTGAGCTCCTGTTGCTGCAGTCGACGCCTCTCTCTCTTCTCCTGCAGTTTCTCCACCTCCTTCACACAGTTCGACTTCCTCCTTGCTGCCATAAAGACAAGAGAAACAATAACTACTACCTTTCACAAGACAAGCCAAAACAGTGTGCTCCTCTCTCATCCAATCTGTTTCTGCTAATTCCTCAGTCTTGTCACTCAGCTTCAGCCAAATTAAGTGAATTTTTCCATTCTCTTGGTCTTCCTTCAAACAGAAGGCAGACCTTGGGCTATTTCCAACAAAGCAGAACAGTGATAGTGCTCAAGCACAGACCAGGATTCAGTGGCTGGTACACACTGCCTCCAGTTTGGCACAAGCTGCTTCCACTACATATTCAACAAAAGGTCTTTACACTGTGGTCAAAACCTGCTCTCATTTATTCCTTCTATCTAGAAACACGACTGCATCAGGGAACTGCTAAAACACATCACTTACAATGCAAGATATGTGGCTTTTATTACTGGAATTACCCCACTTAAAATTTGATTTGTTTTCAAATCAGATGTGATTAGGAAGTGGTTTCAATCAACCAGCAATCAAATATGAAGTTATTCCAAATCTTCCACACAGCACATCCATAGATTAGTGTTGTTTCAGGTCAATCACAAACTATTAGTAAACATAAGAACACATAAAAAAACACCAATAACCAAATGTGAGTAAAAACCACCTCTGATTCTTTGCAGGGTTGGTAAAAACCAGTTATCTGATTAGCCCTGGCTCACTGCTTTAGCCCCAGCTTCCTACTGTCCTGGCCTCCTGCTGGCCTCTTGTCCCTGAGAGCCCAGACTATGAGAGCAGAGCGATTAATAATCTGCTCTAATCTAGGAGGAGAAGATGAGCTGGGTCAGCAATGGGAGAAGGCAGTCTAAACACAAAGTAGCACTGTCACTGCTTGTGGGTTAGTCAGTGCGGGAGCTGAGGGGGGAGAAGGGTAAAACAAGGCATTTTCCCTCCCTCTCCTCTTAGCTCATGAAATTACAGTGAGCACTGGAAAGCAATGGTGGTTTACAAAAAAAGGTTACTGTTGCTGTTTGAACCTTGAAGAGTATCACACAGTGCCACCAGCTTTTCCATGTGTGCCTGTGTGTGACTCGGCAGAAATCAGACAGGGAAAAAGACAGCTTCATCAAACAGCAGCACAGATGTTTTATTATACTCAGAAAGCCTTTCTGCTGGATGGATTGTGTCTGTGCTACTTCACCACCACACCACAGCTGTGAACAGTATCTGGCAGACATTTTGGGTGTACATTCTCATAAGACTAGATAGAGTCACAAATTCTATTGGGAGGCCTATTAGAATCATCACGAAGCACTGAGGACAGGGGGAGCATGCAGGTGATACATACAAAGCTGTCCAGAGTCCTTTCTGGATATCAGATGCTGTGAGGATTCTGTGATAAACATGTGGTCAACGAAAACATAAGATACATAAAAGTTATGTCCTAAATCTATTTATCAAAAGCACCCTAAATGTCAAAACATGATGGCATTTTTCCACAGTGCCACTGACAATATATTTTTAAAAACACTCGTATCTGGATTCTGCATGTAAACCCCTAGCAAGTTGACATGCAAAGGGTTACACCTGGGTTCCCTGAATATAACTCTTAGGTTAATTATAAAAACACAGTGTTTTGATGATGTTACCATTCTGAAGCTGCTGTTGTGTTTGAGCTTGAGTGGGTGGTGCAGGCTGTAGGGATGGAGGCGGTGGTGCTGGCTCTGGTTGCTGGGGCTGTGGGGGTCTGGCACGAGTTGGTATCACTGAAAACAAAACCATATAGATTGAAAAACACTGGTTTTTATTTGTTAACTACAAACACAGCACCGCTGAGTTTGGTCTCAAACCCAAACCAGCTTTTTAAGCTTAAAAATGTAACTGAAGTACCACCTTCAGGAAGAAAGCATATATTGCAGGACTGATGTATAAGACTTATCAATTAATTATAAATGATCACATCACAAGTTAAAAGTAAGTGTGAATAATGCAGAATAATCAGATAATATTCATCACTGATGTGTTTTTTATTTTTGATTTCTAAATTAATGCCGAAGATTTAAGAGCAATATGTTATGGGAGGATAATTTCAGAGTTCCCACAGAGCTGCATGAAACAAACCTCTGTTGTCCCTGGATGGAGTATCATTCTTAGTAGGTGCCATCGTCCGACGGTTCTGGAAGTAAAACCAAAGCAAAAGTAAGATTTTCACTTTTCTATATTCTGTAGCTGCTCAGGACCAGTAAGAAGAAACAGTGCTTTTCCTCCTTTCAGTTTACAACCTATTCAGCCTGCCTCAGTTATATAGAGATACAGAAATAGACACAGCCTGAGAATCAGTTTAATGCTGAGCACAGAGAGCTCTTCCAATGCACACATCTTAAAGTATCTTTAAAAAAAGAACACATACATTTAAGAACACAATCAAAAAGCACTTCAACTGTAAAATCTTTTTAGACCATAAATAAAGTATGTTATTACAGTACCAGAACCTGATTACTGGCTAACTAAACTGCACATTGTCTCATCATTTATATAATCAAAACTAAAAAGAAAATTGTACAATGTAACAGGTTACATCACAAATGCAAAATTTGCTAACATAATTCCAGTGTTTATGAGACAATATGGAGTAATCATAATCTACTGTAAACTACACACAATTCTATATTAAGGTTGGGTAAACTGCAGCACAACCTGAGCAGGTCTGAACATTTGTGGTGCACTCTGGCTATAACAGGAATGAAGAAGGTAAAATGGAAGTGGAAAATCAAATCAAGCAGAGTCCTGACTTATTTGTTACCATATAAGTCAAGACTCTGTTACTCACCTTTGCGATTTTGTTGACCTTCACACCTGCCGGTGTGGGTGGGGGTGGAGTCTCTGGACTAGGAGCAATCTCCTCATCTGGAGCCACATCTGGATTAAGTGCAAATATACTCTCCAAGTCAATCTGTCCAGAAAAAGAGGAGTATTAATACCAGTGTCAAACAACATGTATACTAATTAACCAGTTTTTGGCATTACACAGTGTTAACAATGTGTTCCTAACACTTCTTACTTGATATAAACAAAAAAATAAGCATTTAATATAAAAACACTTTCAATATTTCATGGAGCAACTGAGTAACCTGAAACTGAACATTTCAGAAGTGCATACAGTTCTGTGCTAAAAAGGGCAAATGTTTTGTAATAAAATGCTTTAAAATGGATCACAGCTTCAGTGGTATCCTGAGAAGGTTTGTGTTTGTATACAAACTAGAGTTGGATACAGTTGTAGAGATTTGTTTTCATTTTTCTTTTGTTGTTAAGAGTCAAAGAAGCTGAACTTGCACCCACCAGATTTATTATGGTAAAACATGTGAAAGTGGGGGCAACACTTTTTCTACAAGCTGCACGTCGCTTCTTTATCATAGTGCATCTTAGTTTTAATTGCATCTCTATAAGCAAACCAAGAGAGCAACAGAGTGTTGCACAGGTTTAAATGCGAGTCATCTGGACATTAATCAGACTTGAATCACAATATAATGGCTTGATAAAGAGAAAAGCAGTAATTCTGAATTAGAATTAAGAATGAAGTGAATGAACATGTTTTTAACTTACAATATCACTTTTTTTTTTATCTTGACAGAATGCATTTGTTTGTTCAGTGCATGCCATTTGTGTAAGCATTGTTGACTAGACTGAATCTTGGACTGAAATCATAGCTCAATAGATATTAATTTCACTGCCCAAATCACCGGAATAACTCAATCTTTTACAACTTCTCAATAGCCAATGCATTAGAGGCACTTTATATAACAGACAGACAATAGAATGAGGCTTCATCGCCAAGTAGTGGGATATACTGTGATACAAAGTACGGACGACATGACCAGAATTACAGTTTGTGTTAGCTAATGCACATCCATGTTAGGCTGATTGTGTAATCACGGCTCCCCAATGTCTTTGGATGCATTATTCATTGCTAAATAAAAGCACATGCTGCTACTACTGGTGCTTTGAATGGTAATTGATGGC